TGAATGAAATGCTGCCCAGTCCTACACCATCCTCATGATTGGTTGTGGTTCAGACCATTGTGATCCGTAGAGTTTTCATCGGCTGATTTTCAAAAGTAGATTGCCAAGTCTTTCTTCCTAGTCTGTCTTAGCCTGGAAGTTCCACTGAAAGCTATTCAGCATTATAGCAATACACAAGCCCCCACTGACAATCAGGTGGGGGATGCACATGAGATGCATTTGGCTGGGAATTCAACCCAGGCCTTTCTCATGGAAGGCAAGAATTCTATCACTGAACCACCAATGCTTCATCTTTGAGGCCTTAGACATTCTAAAATGGAAGAAATTTAACATTTCATTAACATAATTCTGGCATTAACAAAGTCTGGCACCATCCCATTTCCACTTTTTATAACATTCCCTCCCATCTTGTTACCTCGCTCTAGTCTGTCCTCAATGCACAGTGCCCTGTGCAGCCACATGGAGAGAGCTGGAATGACCGCCCCCTCCCCTTTTCTCTCCCTCTGGAAAGAAAGCATGTAGTCAGCTAATTCACAGAGATACAATAAAGACTCATTATTACTCAACACATGTATCCAATGTAAGGATTTTTTTTAAAGAAAAAAAGATGATGGCAATGCAAATAATATCTAATTGTAGAATCAGACACTAAGCCAGGATGGGAGAATATTCAGTGTAGATGATTCTTCCTGGAATATCATACAACAGAAGGACCCAACAGAGCCCATGGCACCTAGTAGGTGATCGGTTGTGAAATGAACAAAGGACTTCTAGGGGAAGGCTAAGCTTGCATGGATTTCAAAAGCTTCAGGCCCTTCTTCAGTACCTACTTATCTCCCCACCAAACAGAAATTCAACCAGTCACTCTCTCATTCATTCCCTGAATACATCTTTATTGGGCACCTATGTCATTTATTATCCAAGTACTTGGAATATAACTATCCTTTTGTTGTTGTTGTTAGGTGCCCTCGAGTTGATTCTGACTCGTTAACGATCCCATGTGTTAGAGGAGAATTATCCCATAGGGTTTTCTAGGCTGTAATCTTCACAAGAGCAAATTGCCAGGTCTTTCTCCTGTGGAGCCACTGGGTGGGTTCAAACTGCTAACCTTTTGGTTAGCAGCCAAGCACTGTGCCACTGAGCTTTCAATTTAGTGTAGAGACAGAAAAGAATATGTAATTCACAGCAGCGTGATAGGAGCTGTGAAGAGGGTTTGCTATGCAGAAACATAAGAATGTATTCAACATGGCTTAGGGTAACGCTGGAGATAGTAACACCTAAGCCCAAGCCTGAAGGGCTAAAAGGAGGTTTCCAGTTGAAAGGGAGAAGGAGGTATTCTGGAGGGGAGAGAGAAAATGGTGGTGGTGGGTGGGGGGAAGGTTAGGAAGTGCAAGTGGTTTGGCATGGCTGAAGGATTGGGTTTGTGTGGGGTAAAATCAATGACCACAGCAATCACATTTATTGAGCACTACCGTGAGCCAGGCAGGGTAGTAATGCACACTCTTTGCTGGCTTCACTACCAACATCATACAATAGCCAGGGGCCCACAGAGCTCTGGACACCACCTATCCCCACCATACTCTGTGGAAAAATCTTCAGAACTAATTCATCACGTCCTCCATCCATGTGTCCTTATAGGGATCCCAATCAGGTCATTTTTTATCACCTGGACCATCCTCACAGAGCTCTGTACATCCTTGAACCTGAGCCAATCTAATGTCCTCCTTACCTCTCAAGCCCTTCCACTGTGTCTCTGTGAATGTGCCATCCATTATCATCAAAACTCTCAGCCTTGTCTCTGAAAGATCCCTCACCTTTTTGTCCTGCTCTTCAAGAAGATCCTGCTCCCAGTCTCCCTCTGGTGAAGGCTATTTTTCTCCTAACCTTAAGTACCATAGGGCCTGGAAGAAGGGTAGGAAATCTGCTTACTTCTCATATTTGCTTTCTGTCAACTTAACTCTCTCCTCCCTAAAACTCCCCATCTCCTTTTAAGCCATGCTGTCATGAGCTTCGTCTCCTTACTGGAGTCATCTGTAGGTTTTGGAGCCCACTTATTCTTTGGAGACTGACACCAGTCTTACAGTCTCTCCCAAACACCCTCCTGTCATAATGCTTGGTGATGTCAAAATCCATGTAGAAGATTCTTCCCCACCCTGGCATCTCACTTTCTTGACCTTAGTGATTGACTCCAATGATCTTGTCCTCCACTCTACCTCAAAGTCATACCCTTAGACTATGCTGTTGTAGATAATCCTACTCCCTACCAAATTTCAGCAATCCCTCAGCTCCACCATAACCACCAATCCATTGAGTCTACCACCTTTTCATGGTCCCTTCCTGCTCGTATCCTTATTTCCCAGGGTACCCACCTTGGATCCTATGGTCCACTGTTGTAATAATTTCCTTGCAGACTTCTTCTATGCCCTTGCCATCATTCTCTTTTTTGCATTCATTTGGCGGACTAGCAAACTTAGTTCAATGCAACTCTCTGTCTATTCCGTTCCTGTCCCTGGAGCAGTTGAATATGGCAAGAGAAAGCAATGTCAAATGGTCTTATTTTAATTCCATGAGCTCTAACATCAGTTGAGCCCTTGATGCTGCCTAAGTTTCTCTTGAAAGGCAGCACAACACCGGGGAGTGTTATGGAGCCAGACTTTCTGGTTCAGATTCCTTACTCTGTACCTTACTAGCTGTGTGACATTAAGACATTTTTTTTTTTTTAACGTTCTGTGCCTCAGGTTTTTTGTTTTCGTTTTTTTTTTAATCTGTATTATGGCAGAAAGAATAATGCCTCTGACATTGTTGACAGAATTAAATGAGTTAATCTATGTAAAGTGCTTAGAAAAGTTCTTAGTACATAATAATCAAAGTATCAGAGTGTGGTATTATTATTATCATCATATTACATTTTATGAGTTCAACTTACTCTCCCACTCACTGAGAAAACCATTTCACGCATTTTCTCACTTTCTCTCAAACATCCAACTTTGGCTCCCATTCTGAGCTAAGGGAAGAAAATGATCATGATTTCTATCTTCTTGAAAATAAAAGCGAACAAACAACTTTCTCCACCCCCAATCAACCAAAGTATCTCAGCTCTCTCTCTATATACAGACCCCTTCCCTCCTGCTACTATGGATGAGCTCTCTGTACCTCTAAGACCAACCACCACACTTGTGGCTTAGGTCCCATTGCTTCTCAAGGACACCTGTCTAGTAATTTTCCCCCAACTCTCCTGCATCATCACAGCTGATCTCTCCACTGAATCGTTCTCATTGTCATACCTACATGCTGTAGTGACCTTCCTTGACCTATCAACCTCCAGGTATCTACCCATTTCTTCTTCTTCATGGTAAAATGCCTCAAAAGAGGTATCTACATATATGTCTCCAACACTTTGTCTTCCATGTTCTCTTAAATCTACTCCTATAAGATTTTTCACCACTGCTGCACCAAAACTGCTGTTATTAAGGTCACCGGTAATCACGATGTTCTCAAAACCATGGTGATTTCCCAGGCCTAGTTGTATTTGATCTATCAAATTGGCACAATCAATTACTCCCTTCTTGAAACACTTTCTTCCCTTGGCTCCCAGCCCACCACACCCTCCTATTTCTCTTTGTCTACTCCTTCTCAGTCTCTTTTGTTATTTCTTTCTCATATTCTTAACCTCTAAATATTGGAGGGCCCCAGGGTTTAGTCCTTGGCTCTCTTTTTGTCTCTACCTACGCTGACTCCCTTGGTGATCTGGTCTAGTTTCCAGTGTTAAATACCAACTCTAAGCTGATGATGTCTATATTTATGTGCCCTTCCTTCAGATATCCTCAGGGCTCATTCTATCACTTACCTCAAATCTTTGCTCAAATTTTACCTCACTGAGACGCCTTGCCTGGCCATTGTATATAAAGTAGGGCCATGCACCCCACCATTCTATATCCCCTTACCTTACTTTATTTTCTTCATGAGCACTTTTCTCCATCTGACGTATATTTATTTGTTTATAGTAAACCTTTTTAGAGTACGGAGTTTATCCATCTGGAAGAGTGCCTTGCACCTAGGGAAAAAAACCAACAAGTGTGCGTTGAATTAAAGCATGATCTCACGTAGTCCCGACAACACCCCAACAATCCGATTAGATGGGCTACTAAAGATGAGGAAATGGCATCAGGTTAACCCATCACCACACAGCTGGCAACTCAAGCAGGCTGACCCCAGTGCCTGTGCCCCTACTTAGTATGCTACAGAAGCCAGAAGGGTAAATGGAGTCTAGAGCGCAAGAGTTGTTTTACCAGGTAGTTTGGAATTTATCTTGAGGATAATAGGGAACCATTGGGAGGTAGGGGGAGTGACATGCCCTTGTAATGGTACCGACGCCATCCAAAATACCCACACAATTGCCCATTTCCAGGTCCCAGGGTGTTAAGTTTTGCCATTTTAGAGGCTACCTTGGTCCTTTGTTGGAAGGATTAGGCTGATAGCATGTATATCCTTCGTTAGCATCAAACTGGCCTGTGCTGGCAATATTTAAGGCAGATTTAGTTAAGAGCTTTAATCAACTTTACCTTGAGGTCTGTGAGATTGAAAACATTTCTTGCTGTTTCTGTAGCAGCCTGATAGTTGACATAATTCCTAAAGAAGCTTATGTGTTAATGCCTTAGGGACCTTTACTGTGGTCACGTGCTGCTAGCCCAAAATGCCACTACTCGAGCTATATATTCTAGCAAAATATTAAGCTGTTTAGTATTTTATTTAAAGCTATACTTAAAGAGGATAGGGTTTTTTAAAACCTGATTAAATGCATTTTTAAAATACTCATAGTTTTAATAGCTGACTTCTTTTAAGTTTAATACTTCACGGATCTGACCTTTCAGGTAACTGATGCTTGGGGGTTGTGAAATGCACTGGCTACTTTCATGTAGGCAGTAAAGGCACTTGGTTAATAAATGCTAACATTTACCATGTTTCCATGGTGAAATGAACTGCTGTGTTCTGTTTTAAAGGAAACCAGGTGTTCACCCTCCAATCCCTCCAAAGCCCAGTTCTCCAGTTTCTACTCCTAACCTGCTGAGACAGGATAATAGGTAAGACCTAGCACTCCAGAATTTCTTGTCAAAATGAGAAAGTTCAAGGGAAATGAAAGCAAATGAACTGTTAAATCTGATTTGTGCAAAGCATAGGTATGTTTTATGTGTGCATTCTCTAAAGACACACTTGTAAAGCTTTTTCTAATTTTGTTTATCAACACTTAGGTGTATTTATGCTTGCCTTTGAATGCTGATAGCTATTACTTGTCTTATGGAAACACAGCTTTAAGCATGAAATGGAACAATATTCTTGTTCAGGAAGTGTTTATACGCAAGCATATCTATCTGTCCATCTGTCCATCCGTCTACCCGTCCACCCACCCACCCAGTCACCACCCACCTACCCCCCTACCCACCTATCTATCATCTATCTGTCTATCTATCATCTATCTATTTGGTTTATATTTAATCCTAGTTAAGTTTCCCATTAATAGCTACATCTTCTGATTGTACCCCACTCATGTCAGAAATAAACCTGGGTAGATTTTTAGTCTTGTTTTAGCTAAGACATTTGTAATTTATTTTAAAAGTATCACAAGTTTTGAAAAAATGTTCTAATTAACTTGTCTCAGAATCAGAAAAAAAATACAGGCTTGCTTTTCAGCGTTGATTCTCCATCACTCCATAATTAGTACTTAGAAACAAATTCAGAGAGCTGAAAATCTTCCCATGTGTTTCTGTTAAACTGTTTAATAATTTCAAAGCATTTTTCAAGATGTACACTGTACATTTCCATTATTATTGTGCGATCTTTTAAAAAAATGCTATCTCAATGGGACTGAATACATTAGATCTGCTTGATTGCCTGCCTTTGATTCTTTTGTATTTTTGCTTCTTGATGGTGATTTTTTTTGACACCATGTAGAACCCAATTATAGAACTATTATTCTTCAGCAAGAGGGCAACTTAAGCTAGAAAGTGCTGACTGGGCAGCAGAAATATGTAGCATTAGGTGTTCATCCTATTGGGTTAAAAAACCCAGACTGGAACTTCTGTATGGTGAAACTTCATAAGAGCTTTGAAATTTTGTACTTAGGATGAGAGGATAAATTATTTTTTAATGAGTCAAGAGAATACTTCCTCACTGAATTAATTCAAAATATAGATCAGATTCATAAAATTTTATTTATAAAATGATTATAATACTATTCTTAAAAACAACTTCTCAAGCTTTTTATCTTATGTTCTTTTTCCTTTTACTTTTACAGTATTGAGCAATAAAAATCTTAATTTTGAATAGAAATTTTTTAAAGGAACTAAAAGTGACTTCGATACCACCTAAACTTTAATCTAAAATCAGCGACTCTAGAGAAGTGAACTTGTTTAGATTCAAAAGAAGCTAAATTTCAGGGGAATTGGTCTAACCCACTTTTAGTACTCTAATTTCTTTCTTCCACAGTGATCTTAAAAATAAAATTAGGGTGACTTGCATGTTTTCAACTCTGATTATTTTAATCACAGCTAGGTGATTTTAATGAAAGAATATGAAAGGGGAGTGTTTCCTTTGTAATTAACACATGTCCTCAGGAGTACAAAATAGTTGAATGTAGTTTTTTGAGAATATGCAGGAATGTATAAGTAGGTCACTCAGATACTTAGAAAAAGAACAGAGAAAAGCCTTCTATCGTAAATTGGAACAGAACCTAACATCATAAAATTTAATCCTGCCAGCTACCAGTTTATTCTCAGTGGTGTACCTGAAACATAGATGTATTTCCCATTTTATCTAACCAAATATATTTCTTGAAGTATTCAAATGGAATAGAAGAAAACCAACCCTTTGGTGCTTAATAACAAAAAACGGATTCTCAATATTTTAAAATATTACGTGATTATCTAAAAGGGTAAGTATGAAAATGCTTTCTTGATGGCTGGAACATATTTAGAACAGATGTTTCTAGGTTTAACCAGTGGTTTTAAATACACATTAAGAGTGATAGGCTGAATTGCACAATGGTATTTTGAACTCTTTGGAATTTCACACACAGATGATTGAGTTCTAGCCAAACAAAAGAGCAAAAGTACAGTTTGTAATCTCAAGCAGTGCTTTGATTCCAACACAATTTAATCTTTTTGAGCATAAGTTTTTCTTATTTCTTATAAATTTACCAGAGAAGTACTTTTCTTGTCTAACAGGTATTATCTTTTAACTTTAAAAATATAGGCAAATATGTCCACCTAAACCAGGTGTATGCACCGAAACCAACAGATCTGCTGCAAGAAATACAAGGTATGATGATCTATCTCTACATAACTGCAGAAATGTTACAGTATGCTTTATTTGAACACCTTAAAATACAAAACAAGTCATAATAAAATAGATAAAACCAGCTTTTTGGTTCCTTCAATATAGTGGAAAATTTTATATATATACATATATGTATCTATATAATTTTATTCCTTTTATTTTTATTCTAAGCTTTACATTAAGAAAACAACCGAAAATGTTCTAACATGAAAACAGAATAAGATCAAACCCTTTGAAGGCAGGAAGGCTTGCTTACCTCTTTAATCCCAGCCCTTGCCCCAAGGCATAAACAGAGTGAGTGGGTGGAAATACAGACCTTTAATTGGACTTGTTTTACAAAAGCTTTGTCTAGAGTTGGCTGTATAGAGCCCTGTCCACCTCCTCCTATGTCATGAGAAAGAGGATCACAAACTGAGTTGATGTCTTTGGGTAGGGTAGCATTATGTCCTGGTTTCCTCAGGACAGTCCTGGTTTATGCCTGTTGTCCTGCACATCCTGTCTGGTTTAACATTTGTTCTGGACATAGCTTGGTTCTATTTTTTTAGAGAAAATACTATTTTTGAAAATAGTTTTTCAACAATGCTATTTTATGTCTACCAATATGATCAACTAATTTGTCAGTCAAATAAATAGTTAAAAACTTATATAGTTTTCTTTTTTTTTAATCATCCCCTTTGCTCTCAGAAGAGTCCTAGTTTGAAACATAAATTACATGGTTGGGGAGAATCATGTCTGCCTTGTACCAAGTGATTTAAATACAACTTTAATTCAGCATTTCCCAGACTGTGTTCCATGTGACATAGATGTCAATGCATGGTGTATGTGAACAAAGTGTTTAATGGTCCAGTTCATTTAGGAGACCTGGTGGTGCAATGGCTTAAGTGATCTGCTGCTAACCAAAAGATTGGTGATTCAAACCCACCAGCAGCCCCTCAGGTGAAAAGACCTGGCGATCTGCTTTCTTAAAGATTAAAAACAAAAAATCCAAACATTTTGCAGTCGAGCTGATTCCAACTCATAGTGACCCTATAGGACAGAGCAGAACTGCCCCACAGGGTTTCCAAGGAGCACCTGGTGGATTCAAACCGCCGACCTTTTTGTTAGCAGCCAAACTGTTAACCACTTTGCCACCAGGGTTTCCTCCTTAAAGATTACAGCCTAGGAAACCCTATGGGGCAGTTCTAATTTCTTATAAGGTCACTATGAGTTTGAATCAGCTTGGCAGCACAGAACAATAACAACATTTAGGAAACACAATTAAATAGAATTCTCTGCCACAGGACTTCTCAGAACCTTCAGCATGTTTATGTGTATTCTGAATCTTTACAAGTATGTTACATTTCCCAAACTTATGTGTCTACTTGGAATCCTATTAACCTTCTATAAGACCTTGTGAAACACATGTCTTGATTCCAGGAAAATCTGTAAGGATGTTCCTAATTATTCCTTTTCATTGTCTAGAGAGACCAGTATGGATCATGCCCACTATATGTCAGGTGCTTTCACAATCCTGGAGCGTCAAAATTCACTTTCTTTCCCTTTGGAAGCCTAAGAAGACACACATTTCATCCCACGTGATGGGCTAATTACTTGTCTGAAGAGGTGCTTAATGCTCCTTGGCTCTAGTTTACAAACTAGAATACACATCTGTATTTACTTGCACGGTTATTTTCTTTTTCATATCCTTTCTTAAGTGTAGAACTTGGGAACTACCAAGTTCTTAGGAGAAACTGTAATTATTTCAGTGAGCAGTAGATGGCAGAACAAACACCCAGGTGGAATGGCAGAGGGATGGATGTGGTGGGGTCAGCAGGGAGTGGGCATGTCTGGCTGTGTGTGCCGTCAGCTGATATGATAGAACCATTTTGTTATTTTGTTTAAGTAATTCTTGAACAATGCTTTTCTCATTGAAAACAAATGAAAAGTTTTGACTACTTCAGACATAGCTCTATGCCATTGACTTGTATTTATTTTTCATTGTTTGAAGGAGTCAGGATCTCGATAACATCGTCAAAGTGACCACTTCATCTCAGAAAACTGACAAGGGGTGAGACCTCAGAGCTTTTGAGCTTGTTTTTTTTTTCTTTCTTCTCTTTATGCTTCAAAAGTGTTTAACCAGTACCTTTAAAAGTTTCAGATATGAACAAAATCCCAATGCTGTTTATTATATATGATTTAAAGGAAAATAGAATCAGTGGGTCTAAATAAGCTCTTTTCGCTATGCTTCCTCCTGTGGTGAGTTTACTCATCCCAGTGACCTCAACTGTCCCCGGTTCTGACCTTGTTCTGAATCTCCAGTCCTGTATTTACATCGCTGGCCCAGATCTCAGCTTGCGTTTTTCCAGGACCCTCCATTTAGGATGTCCTAGGCCATATCTACTTCCAAAAAAATCAGCCATTGAAAACTCAGTTGAGCATGGTTCTGCTCTGACACACATGAGGTCATCATAGATTGAAGCCGACTCCACAGCAATTTTTTTTTTTAAGGCCATATTCAACTTTCTTCCCAAATGTGCTATTTCTCTTGACTTCTCTATTCTTCCATTCTTGAAGTCTCAACTTTCTGAAATCATTCTTTGTTCCTTCATCTCTTTTCCCCTCTATGTAGGATCAGGCACCAGTGGATGAAGTGTCTAAAATGTCCCTCATACCCACAAGGCCTCACCCTGGTTTAAAACCTGCTTATTTGCAGTATAGGTTGCTTACAGTGTTAGATTTACTTACACTCCTCCAGTCTCTCCTCCAACTAAACTATTTCTACACGTCAGTGCCAGAGTTTTCTTTCTAAGATTCTTCTCAAACCACAGCACGCCACTGCCTCCCCAGTGCCCATTCAATTACATATAACCTCATTCAAGGTCCTTGCTAATCTGTCTCCCACCTAACATTCCAAAGTTATTTCTGACTTCACCCTTACCTTAATGCTATATTTGAACCAAACTAAGCCACTTCTTTTGTTATAGTTTTTAACGTCCTGCCTTTGTTTAGGCCATACATCTATTTGGAGGCCTTCTCCAGCTGCACGGCTACTATCTCTGTCTGTCCAGCTCAAATAGCACCATCTCTGTGTAGTCTTCCCTGAATGACCCAGTGAGATGTGACTTCTGCCTCTCTAAGCTATTGTCATCAGTGTTGTTAGCTGCCATCAAGTTGGCCCACAACTCATGGTGATCTTATGCACAACAGAACAAAACGCTGCCCAGTCCTGTGCCATCCCCATGAGGAGGTGTAGATAGAACCACTGTGATCCATAGGGTTTGCATTGGCTGATTTTCAGAAATAGATCACCAGGCCGTTTTTCCTAGTCTATCTTAGTCTGGAAGCTCCTAAGAAACCTGTTCAACATCCTAGCAACAAGCAAGCCTCATTGATAGGTGAATGGTGACTGTGCATGAGGTACATTGGCTGGGAATCAAACCTAGGTCTCCCACACAGAAGGAGAGAAATCTATCAGTTAGAGCCCCACTATTCATACTTATTTATAGGAGCTCCGGTGGCGCAGAAGTTAAGAGCTTGGCTGCTAACCAAAAGGTCAGCAGTTTGAATCCACCAGCCACACCCTGGAAACCCTATGGGGCAGTTCTACCCTGCCTGTAGGGTCGCTATGAGTTGGAATTGACTTGATGGCAACAGGCATTCAGATTCATAGCACTTAATCCTATTTGGTTTTGTTTCATGTTATTTGTGGTAATTGTTCACGCTCTCTATCATCTCTATTATCTGAGGGCAGCGATTATGTCTTATTCATTATATAGCCTTTCCAGTCTGACACAATGCTTTATACGAAGTAGATGCTTATATAATAGATTATGATAAAATGAATAGTTAGTGAGAAAGTTTTGAGTATAAACGTTCCACAGTTTAAATCCCAAAATTACAAAAAAAAAAAACCTTGCTTAATGGAATTTAGTAATGCTGAGAATATTACTAGGAATGGCAGTGTCAAAGAAGCTGAAAAAACGAAAAAGAAAAGCAGGAACTCTGAATCCAGAAGAAGGCTATAGAAAGTATCCTGAATTACCTCATTTCTATGTGTTTCTTTTCATATCTTCTCTGGTCCAAGTGCCTAGATCTTTAATTGTATTTATTTATTTTTGCCCATAGTATCATCTTGCTTTTAATAGTGATTGTACAGTTCTTTTGGTGGGCGATTGGGTTGTTTGAGGGTAAGCGGATGAGGAATGCGGGAAGAAAATGATGGTTTGACATAAACCAGACAGGAACAATGAGAGCTGCAGTTCGTTTAACTTTTCTCTCTCCCCAGCCACAATGCACACCTCCCACGGCCGCAATCATTTATCACAGGGAAAGTGGTTGCTTAGACAGGGGACCAGGGAGAATATCTGGCATAGCCGTATTCATTACAGAGTATTGTGATTGTGGGTTGTCCATAGGGACTTGAAATAGCTTTATTTACCCAAGCTGCTCCTTGTGATGCTCCTTTGTGAAATAGAGTGGTACTGCAATCTGATGAAGGCATTTAATTTGTTGCAAATGCAGTGGTGAAACTTAATACCCAAATCTTTCATCAATTTAAAGTCATTTTAAAAGCTCAGCTTCTAATGCACTCTCCATTTTATTTAATTCACCACAGAATGTCTTCTCATGATTTATGCTAATTTTGTTGCGGTAAACAGGAGCAACCTGAAATCCTAATAATCTCATCATTGTGACTCACACCAGTTAGAAAAGGCTGGGGCTAAAATTTATAGGATTCTTAGGTCTGCTGGTTCCCTCGGAGACATAGATAGCTTCTCAGTCTAAGAGTTGGCAGGTAGAGTTTCAAGCAAAGTAACAATGATGGGGCCCTGTGTCAGGGGACTTCATGGCAGTTGTCCCAAACAGATAGCATGTTAATCAATTTTGTCAGGGACAGCTACTTTTGCATTTCTGGCTTATTTTTAGCCTTCAATTCCACCTTTGAATATATAATATTACTTTTAAGTATCCATCTCTGTGATGGCTTTTAATTTAATGTATTGTCATAGCCTCTAAAGCACTGCCTCCAACTACTTTTCTGGCAAATATTCTGGTTTTTGTTGTTCCAGACATCTTCAAAACATAAGTCACTCAGTAACTATAGCTCTCTAAGGCTGTACCAAAGTCTTGGTTTCTCTAAATAACTAAATATAGCAAGCACTTACTAAATTAAAACATTTAGTATTGTCTGGGCATTATTTATTATAATGGCCAAAATTAGTTGAGAATTTATGATTTGCTAATCACTTTATATTCATCAGCTCATTGATTCTTTTCTGAGGTGGAGACAATTATTATTCTGGTTTTACACTTGGAGCCCTGGTGGTGAAATGGTTAAGTGCTTGGCTGATAACCAAAAGGCTGGAGATTTGAAAACCCTGGTGTCATAGTGGTTATGAGCTACAGCTGCTAACCAAAAGGTCAGCAATTCGAATCCACCAGGTGCTCCTTGGAAACATTGTGGAGCAGGTCTACTCAGTCCTACAGGTTACTATGGGTCGGAATTGACTTGACGGCAATGTATGTGGTTTGGTTGACCTGGTGATCTGCTCCCATAAAGATTACAGCCAAGAAAACCTCATGGGGCAGTTCTACTCTATCATATGGGGTTGCTATCAGTTGGAATCAACCTGACGGCACACAACCACAACAGCACTGATAGGAATATTGAGGTAACAAGAGGTTAGGTAACTTACCCAGGGCCACCAGCTAATAAGTGGTAAATCCAGATGGGAGCCCAGGTCCCCTGATTTTAGAGCCTAAATGCACAACTACTGAGTGACTGGGCCTCAGAGGCTTCTGATCAACATCAGGGATGACTTAGGAAGAAACTGAATTGTTGAGAAAGGTTGGAAAACATGTGATTCTAGAGCAGAAAGAAGAAGGAACAAAGATTTGTGAACTGAAAAACTGAATGAGAAAGGGAAGAGTAACGGGGATTGGGGAGAGGACTGAAAAGAAAGAGGGAAAGAGGACTTACTGTGAGGAGCAAATAAGAACTAAAGGGTGTTCCGGGAGAACCCACCTCGGCTGTGTGTCTTGAGGAGAGAGCTGAGTCTGTCTGATTCTGAGAGATACTTTGGAAGCCAGGGGTTTGGCTTAAACAGATTGCTCCTGAAGAAGCACCCAGAAAGGGCATTGCAGTTCTCAAACCTGAAAATAGAAGAGCAAGTTTAGCTTACCTGGAGTGAGGTGGGGATGGAATTCAAGAAAGAAACCAGGTTTACTGATGCACAAGTATTTTCCAGTATCTACTTTGTGCAAGTACATTGTTCAAAGCTAGAATTTATAATTACTCAATGTACCTGTATTTGAGGGTTCAATTAAAAAAACTGTATTAAGCATTTACTGTATGAAAAATACTGTGCTAAAGAGTGCAGAGGGTACAGTGTAAAATATTCTAAATGTTAAGTGTGTGTGTGTGTGTGTGTGTGTGTGTGTGTGTATAGGGGTAGGGTCGTTAACATGAGGCAGATGTGCAATTGCTGTATTACAAAGTATAGTAAGGTAAGCGCACCATAAAGGGAATACAAAAACAAACAAACAAAAAACTACCTGAGGTTTCCAAATACTTAAGGGCTCTCTTTAGTTGGAGGACTGTGAAAGGCTTCTTGAAGGAAGTAGAGTTTGAGATGAGACTTGAAGGATCCTTGAGGAACCTATGAAGGATTTTTCAGACAATACAGGTGGGATGTGTGTTGTATTTCAGAGAACTCAGAAATAGTTGTTCTAAGGTGAATCTGCCCTATGACTATGGTTAGGCTTTTGCTGATGTGAGATTTTTCTTTTCTTCCTTCCAAAAGTGAAGAATTGGATAATCTCATCAAAATGAACAAAAGCTTGAATAGGTAAGATTTCAAAGCATCTGTCTTACTTTATTACCGAATTTCACACCATGACTTCTTACGTCTTCTCTGTATGTGAGCATCACGACCCACACACTGGCCTAGTCAAAAGTATTCTACAAATTTTGACTAAAAAAAACCTATGGAAATAAGAAATAGCTCATTGTTATTATGAATGGTTATTAAAGTCTAAAGTATATAAAAGTGTCTTCTATTTTCTCACTCCCTTTTTTATTAAGGTAGTTACATAAACAAAAATAGGAATATACCTGGCAATCTGCTCCCGTAAAAATTACTGCCTAGAAAACTGTATGGGGCAACTCTACTCTGTCACATGGGGTTGCTATGAGTCAAAAATCAACTCTCGAGAGCACCCAACAACAACAACAATAGTATGTAAACAGTTTGGTTTAGGCACTGAATACTTTTAACTTAGACCATCACAAATACGATGTACTTTCTTAGTTAACATTATCTCCTTATTTTTAATTACTTACAATTGCACAATTTAAAATACGCTAAGAGAGAAAAATGAGTAATTGAAGTTTATATTAGAGGGATATATAGTTTTGATTATCTCTTTGTTACTTTGCATGCTAGCATACTAAACGGGCAGGTATCAAAGAAAAAGAGAAAATAAAGCAAGTCTCCAATGAATTCATAGATCTGAGGATCAGAAGATGTGGTTTGCATACCCTCCTTTGACAATAATGGGATGAATGATTGACTATCAATAAGTCACTTAAATTTCCTGGTTCTAAGTTTCCTCATTTGTAAGGAGAGGTGGTCTCAGATCAGGACTCATAGACACCAGGACCTGTGAAGACCAGGCAGATGTCAATGGCTGAAGCATAAAGGATTGGGAAACTGAGTCAAAAAGAGGAACAAATGCTTGTCTAAGTTGCCCACCTGCTTCTTCCTCCAGCTGACAGTTGCCACATGGCAGTGTGAACCAGTGTAACAGGGCATTACAATTTTCAGGAGGCCCTGAAAATCCAAGTTTCTATGTGTAGTGGCCATCTTTATAATAACTGGCTCACATGAAAAATAAGAACACTCCATGAACTCAAGCAACCTGTCTGTAGACCAATAAGAGCTTGCTGTTCACCAGTTTGCGCTCTTTACAGTGTGCCTACAGCAATTGAAATTTAGAGTCTATGAAAAGACCTGTTTGAGTTGAAGCCATTTCAGGAACTGTGACTCACCTTTCCCAAACAATTTATTTCTTGTCTTAGATATAAATTGGTCTATGTTTTTATAGATTTCAGTATCCGTTATTACAAATGATGAGTTTTTTTTTTTTTTAATTCAACCCATTTAAAGAAATCAAGGTTTCGATGGCCTCTTCAGAGCAAATCCTAAGGCAAAGCAACCAGAGAAGAGGTAAATGCATCTGTCTTTAATCTGAAAACATTATCTCCCAGATTGCTTGTCTTATTCTTTTCGACATTAGCTGTAAGGGAGTTATAGCCTCTGGCATGGAAATGTACTGGCAGATGGGATAGCACTCTCAGTAGAGTACATTTAGTTCAGACAGAATTGCCCAGAAGGACTTCTCTCTTCCATTCAATCAGAGTAAATGAGCAATTCATGAAGAATGTTTATTGTATCTGAACTCTCAAGATACCACACAATTTCATTTCAATATGCAGTCTTTCACTTGGATTTCTTTGTGTTTAAAGAGCCAGAAGCCTTGAAAACCTCATCTATGTGAACCCCCAGACGGATAAAGGTGGCAAAGGGTAAGATTTGATTGAAACTCTCACAGACTAACTTTGATTGAGCCCTAGACTATAAAACACTTTCTGGGTGAGAACTGCTACTCAGAGCAAGGGTCAGCCAGGCTGCTGGAACAGATCCTGGATCAGGGTCAGGAGATGGGTGGGTGTCCTGATGCTGGCTCTGCCACTAATGGCAATTAACTTAACCCTAGGCTAGTCTTTTAACCTCTGGGGACTCCAGTTTCCTCATCTTATAAAATGAAGGCTATGACTTAGATGATCTCCTACTTTCCTCTTATATCTAAAAATGAAGGAAATGCAACCAGCTATTTCAAGTAATGGACAATAGGCTAGTTTTATGAACTAAATCAATTTACTATGAGACATTTTGGTGCTGGCAGCATAGCCCCTCCCCACAGATGACTTTGACTTGTTCTAAGGCACTTTTCAGATGCAACCTTGCTTGAGTCATTTTATTGTGTGTCTCAGACACATTTCTAAATATCTCAAGATCAAAAGCCATCCTTTTATTTATTTCATGTCATAAAATGGGTTAATTGATTAATTAATGATTAGTAACTGAACTGATAGCATCTGAGAGATTAACTGACGGTTCTAGACTGACGCTCATAAATTAGAAAATTGACTTATGTTACTAATTTTATTTTTAATGTTGAAAGAAATGTAACTATTGACAGTTTCATTAAAGAAAATCCCAGGACAGTCAAGAATGACAATGGGTAAAGACTTAGAGGATTTCTGTACTAATGTTTGCCCCCAGATTGACTGTTCACCTTGTATTTTGGTAGTCATTAAATTTGCCTTCCTTACTATGATAATTATTTCTACGGTCATGGCTATTTTTAAAAATCATTTATCTATGCCAATCAGTGGGTACACAGAATGGTATCATGGCTTTCCAAATCAAGTTTGGCAGATGTGTTCTCAAACCTCATTGATTTAGAATACTTTACAAATTCTATATGATGTAAAGTGTTGGCAATAACAGTCACACAGATATTGGATGCTTATTAACAACATATTATTTTAATGTAAACATGTACATATTATTGCAAGTGATTTTTTTTTTTCAAATGGGGAACAGATAAAGGAGGAAAACAGTGAATTATCTTTAAGTGGTTATATGAGCTGTACAGGACAAGATGGGATTTCAGAGATTTAAAAAGTGGAGTTTGGGAAGTTCCACAAAAGTGGTGGAAAATAGGAAAAGTAGGATGAGTATCATAATTAAATCATTTTTTAGGCTAGAAGTAGGAGAAAAAAGAAGAGATTTATAATCTGAGGCCACTGGATAGTACTGAGTTTTGATATGGGAGTGACTCTGGTCTTGTCATTGTGTAGAGAAGGAGTCCATAGGGTTAGAAAAAAAGGCTGTGACATGAACAGATAGGTCAAGACTTTTAACAGAAAATATAATGTAAGAGTCCTTTTCTTTCCTGTTTTCCTTCCTCCCTTTTATAAACTTCTTATATTGAAAGAACCTAAAATGTCAATAATGTCAATAATCTTACCACAGTGAAATCAGGGACAGATGAAAATGGAAAAATGATAATACTTGGTCAATTGATAAAATTTTGAGGGATTATCTTTCATATGTAAGGAGCCCTCATGGAGCAGTGATTAAGCACTCGGCTACTAACCAGTAAGGTTGGTGATTTGAACCCATTAGCCACTCCTTCGGAGAAAGATGTGGCAGTTTGCTTCACTAAAGATTATAGCCTTGGAAACCCCATGGGGCAGCTCTCCTCTGGCCTACAGGATCGCTGAATCGGAATCGACTTGACGGCACCTTTTTTTTTTTAATCTTTCACATCACCTAATAGTTTTTAGCCATTGACATGAGAAAGTTTTATTGGGTGTGCTCAGCTGATGTGAAAGTACTAAAGCTACAAGAGAATATTTTTCTATGTTTCCAAGGTTATTTCTGAATCATCTAAATAAACTCTTGAACAGTCTCTGAGAAATGACTTTGTTTAAATCTTCAAAGTGTATAGATTTAAAATGTTGATGATCTAATTTCTACCCCTCATGTGAATGATTTTTGTGCTTGAAGAAGATAATGTCAGCCTCCCATCAATCCGGCCTCAAAGGACAAAGAAAGCTAAAGCTGAGACCTGATGGGAACTTTTACTTTTAAATTGATTCAATCACTCCTGGGTAGTGTTGGGTCCTTGATAGCAAGATAGTTCTGTGTCTCTTGCCTGTTTCGCATGATAAGTCCAATCACTTGAATTAAATATTTGAAAAGACTGCTGATCGTTTAGGTACTGATAACAATTTACTACTGTTGAAATCTGCTATTGTCATATGAAATTCTGAATATATTATTGAGTTTCTCTCTCTCTCTCTCTTTTCAATGTATAAAGAAACCAAGGCTTTGGAAGTCTTACTAAAGTTAATCAAAGAAATGACAAAAATGAGAAGGGGTAAGTAAAGCTCCTACCTTGATGGATGCTTTTGTTCAGGTTAGTTTTTTACACTTCATTAGCAATGGGAGTGCTTTGCTTCCCTCTGTCACAGATGGATTGGGACATTCTTCGGGCTTATCAAAGATATTAGGAAAAGGAATATGATGATTGCTGTTCTCATAGGTGAGTACTTGAGTGGTACAAAGAGTTAATGTACTTGGCTGTTAACTGAAAAATGTTGGCAGTTCAAGTCTACCCAGAGGTGCCTCAAAAGAAAGCTCTGGCAATCTTCTTCTGAAAAATAAGCCGTTGAAAACTCTATGGAGCACAATACTACTCTGACACACTTGGAGTTGCCATAAGTCAGAATCATGACAGCATTTCCAAAGTGAACCTCCAAAATGACAAAGGTAGCCATGAGTGAGGCTTGACTAAAACTTGTAAACCAATTCCTCTAAAGATAGATCACCAGGCCTTTCCTCCAAGGCACCTCTGGGTGGACTCGAACCCCTAATCTTTCAGATACCAGCCTAGCTGTATGCACCATCCAGAGACTGTGAGACTTAGCATCTTTTAATCTGATTTCTGAAAGTGATGATCAATCAGAAGATAAAATAATGTGGCTTTTAAGCTTCATAATCATATTTTACTAGCATGGGATTATACAATAAATATGGACCAAATGGCCTTCCTTTCTTGTCCCCCAAAAAACTAGTTATTTTAAGAATTTCCCCAATGTTTGATGGTGAGTTGCCTTTTCTCCTAGATTTTGAGCTTTAATTATTTTTTAGAGATGACTTATTCAATTGAATTTGTGTCCAAAGAAAGCACAGTCTTGACAACATTTTAAAAGTACAGGCCTGACAAAATTTCCAAAGTGGACCTCCAAAATGACAAAGGTAGCCATCAGTGAGGCTTGGCTAATGCTTGTAAATCAATTTCTCTAAGGACAGTGGTCTCAGGGAGCAGCCCAGGGAAGGGGCTGGGCAGGAACATGTACCGGGAGTAAGGATGTACCATCACTTTTTCTCCTATTCCGAGCTATGTGGACATGGCAGCAATACTCAATCAGGATACTACTTCTGCCATCCACTCCTGACCCATTTAGGTTCAGGCTATGCTCCTTTTGGTATTGCTTAATGCATTTTAATGGGGTGGCATGTGTCCCCTGAGAAGTGAGACATTGATTTCCCTACCACGTAAGGTATTTTGTTTTTTCCTTTATAATTCCCCATAATCTACTCTGAGTCAAAAGATATTTTAAAAGGATTGGGAGGTGGTTGAGGATGGTTGAGTTTATGTGAAGGAAGCATTATTCTTATTATTTAAAAACAGAGCATCTGATTTGTTGAATAGAAATTTATATTCTGTCTGGATCCAGTAGAGAACTTTATCTACCTTACGTTACTTCAGTGCTGTTCATTTGAAGTATTCTAACAAGACATACCTGAGGGCAAAGTTAATTTCACTAAATAACATGTGTCATATACTTATATATGAGAACAAAGCAGAACATCGTATGTTGCTTGTTAACAAACAAGTAGCCTTAAATGGTCTTCAGCTCAATATTTAAGAGAAAAATGTCCATTTGTATTTAGAGTTTTAAAAAGTTACATTGATTTAGAAAACTTGTATATTTACCACTTCTTAATTTTTCCATTCATTGTTCACTTGATTAGTGTTTTATTTTAATGACATGCATTAAAGCTAATTTCTTTATTTAAAGAAAACAAGACCTCGAACGGCTTGTTAAAGTGAATCCTGAAACAAATATCAAGAGGTAAGACATTTAGAGATTCTTTTTTTCTTTGTCCAGCATTTATAAGCACATTGGGAATTTGAGTGTTTATATTGAGGAGAGTGAAATGAAATTCAAGTAAAAACTAAGCTCTTTCCTCTCCCCGCTAGACATATCACATTAAGCAATTTTATAGAAGTGATACATAGAAGTAGTCTTTTGCATTTTATTCCTGGGTGAAGTTTGCTATTAGGTAGATTTTAAGAAATTAAATGGGAATTTGGCATGATCTTTACTGAGCTAAATGATTTATTTCTTTGCATGTATGTGTAGTGTTTCTATGTGTGTGTGTCTGTCTACATATGTGTATAGTATGTCTATGTATGTATGTATAGTATGTCTGTGCGTGTATGTAATGAGTGTGTGTATATAAATATGAACTGTGTGTGCTTGTGTGTAATGTATTTTTGTGTAGTGTGTATATATGTGTGTAGTGTGATGTGTGTTTAAAGATGAAGAATTTAACAAAGTGTACTTTGTTAAAAGATTTCTCTTACACATGAATTGTCATGGATAAGTCTGGAGAGCTTATGTCCTCTTGCTTTTTATTTTTTAAGAAGCAGATGGAATATATTTAAAATAAGCTTGTTGGCATGTTTCTGAAAACAATATACCAAATAATTCCATGTGATTTCCTTTGAACTCATTTCCATTCAGCTAACTCAGTACATGATGTTATTCATTGATTCTAAACTCTGTCACCAATGTCTGCCGGCCCGGCAGGCAGAGCAAGGCTTTGGCTAGCTGAAAAGCGTGGTGTGCGCTGTCAGGCTGTCCTGTAGTGGCACAATCAG